TCTGGCTCCAGCGATGAGGGACTGAAAGTCTGAGTGACTTTCCCAGTCACAAGGCCCAACCACACCCCTGCCTCCGGAGAGACCTCCGCTCGATGTGGCCAGGGTTCTCTTTACTGAGCACTTACTAAGCACCTGCTGTGTGCATTCTCTGTTCTGGGTGCTTTGGAAGTCGCAGGGAACAAAACAGGCGAAGGTTTTTCTCTCATGAAGCTTACGTTCCCCTCCCTTCCGGTAGGACAAGTGCACCCAGGGCGGGGAGGGGGGAGAATGCAGTTGTTTATTTCATTTTCAGAAACCGCACCGAAAGAAAGTCCTGAGAGGCACAGGCTCGCTGTTTACTCTGACACCCTGGCTGGAGGAGATGCCAGAGGTTGGGGATTTGCTGTGGGTCTGTTCAGAAATCTGTCGCCGGATTCAGGGACCCACTCAGGCGGTCACTGAAGACTGCAGGCAGAGCTGGGGCATCTCAGAATGTCCACGTTAGGAGTTGCCTCCTTGAAGCAGAAGATGATCATTGGGGGTTTCCTACCGGAGGCCTAGGATCCAAAATCCTGGGAGGTTGGCACCTGAGGGGCCCATCCCGCCCGATCCCCCATGTACGGATTCAGAGCCTGAGGTCACAAGGTGACAGGGGCTTGCTCATGCTCACGTGTCCCGTGAGGAAGGAGCGCATTCCAGAACCCATCTCATTCCAGGCAGACTCCTTCCTGAGCCGGCTTTGGATTCGGTTTCCACGGAAGGGCCTAGCGCATAGTAGGTGTGGCCTAAAACCAAGTTACCCTGAACCTTTGAACAGTGAGCCCGCGTTTTTCCTTTTTATCATTTCCCCCAAAGGTTCCGAAGCGCTACAACCCTCTCCTTGAAAATCGTGCCTTGTTCTGTTCGTCAGCAGTAAGCATGAACGAGAAAGAGTCCTTGGGGGGGAGGCGGGGCTAGCATTACACCCCCGGATCAGACAGATAGGCGAACGTCTCATGAAGTGTTGAGCCTGTTCCTGGAGGACACGCACCCACACACGTGAGAGCATCAGGAGTCTTTCCCTGTTGTGGGATGTGGCTCCTTCGCTGAGCAGCCTGGGGCAGGGGCCTGGGCGGAGCAGGGGGGGCCCCGCCATGCCAGCGACACCACCCAGACACCCCATTCCTGGCTCTGCAGACTGCGGGGGACGGGGAGGCAGTTCATAGAGACTGTCCGGAGCCCCGTGAGCAAGAGTTCATTTTCTAGACTCTAGCTGTCCTCAGAAATGAGCTGTCCTCATTTCTCTCTGCCTCAGTCTCCTCATCCGCAAAATGGTCCTAATTGTGGACTCCCTTTAAGAGAGCTGAAGGATTTGAGGCGCTCTGACTGCGTCACCTGACACGGAGGAGGTGGCCCCTCAAGGTTGTGACCCGGCTCCCTTTGCTGGGCTCCGTTTCCTCACCTGTAGGAAGTAGATCATTAGACCAACCTCGGCAGGACATGAGGGGGACACAGTGATCCGTGTGAGCAGACAGACCCTCAGTGAGCCCTGGGTGCTCCTCCCAGAGCTGTCCGATCCTGGGCCAGTCTCGGCGTCCCTCAGGTCCTCCGTGTCCCATCTGTGCTGTGGTGATAATCGGGCTGCTGGTCAGGGGTCTCAGGATTGGAGAGGAGGTCCAGAGAGCACCGGATGTGGGGGTTAGGTGATTCTTGGGTATCTGCACGCAGCGGCTCCGGAAGTGGCCGAGCCCCGCCGCCTGGGTTCCCACCTAGCCCTGCCTTCCAGCTCTGTGATCTCTGATGAGTCATTCCCACATCGGGCCCCGTGTCCTCATCCCTGTGTGACAGCACAACCCCACTGCAGGGACTGAGTGAGCGAATGCGGTTAAGGTGCTAACAGCAGGGCCTGGCATGCGGTCAGTATCCCATGAATGTAGCTATAATAGGACCTTGGCTGGGTCCCTGTTCCTCCCAGGCCTCGAGTGTAAGGGGGGTGTGGGGACGGTGGTGGGTGCCTTTGAACCTGGGCTGCTCATTGGGATCGCCTGGGAAACGCTGAAAAAGATCCCCAGACCCTGACTCCACCCTAGAAATTCTGCTTTAATTGGTCAGACAGGAGTCTGGGCAGGTGAATTATTTAACGACTCCGGGGATGCTCACTGCCAGCACAGAAGCGCCCTGAGCTGGACGCTCCCCGAGGTCACAGAGGAAACGCTGAATTTCTTCTCCCCCCGATAAGGGTGGCTCCCTGTGCTGCTGGGGCCGGAGAGGAGCTTCTCAGTGGGTGGGTGCTTCAGAATCACCCGTGCGCGTGACAGCTCCTTGGAAAATGAGCCTGATCGGGGTGGCCAGGGCACCCTCCTGAGGAACATGGCTGGGGCTGAGTTGCCTCCTGCCCTCCGGCCCAAAGAGGGGCTGGTGACACCCTTCTCAGATCCGAGCTGCCCCGCCAGGGGACCTTCCCATCTTTAACCACACGTGTGTGTGAACAGGTGCCGGAATCCACGCAAAGCCTCGCTGCTCAGCCCCAGAGCCCTCTCTGCCTCGACACACCAAAATGTCACGGACAAAATCTGTCCTCCCTCTTTCAAAACGCTCCCAGCTCTCTGTAAATAGCTAATCTGCGGGAAAACGCCTGTGATCTCGTTTGTGTTTTGAAAGCCAATTCGCCAAACTTGTTTCCTGAGGGGATTATTAAAAGAAGAGGGAGAGAATCATAATTTGTTGGTTTCTGCTGCTTTTCTCATTTGGGGTTTTGCATGGCAGCTGCAGGGAGCTGGCTTTGGGACTTTTCTTGTGTTTCTGCTAAGCTTTTGTTCTGCTCTCTTACTGCCTAACAAACAAGTCGTTTCAGACGTAGGCACGACCAGATCTCACGACAATAATCATAGGTGTTGTTTATTAAGCACCTACTGTGTGCCAGGTTCTGTGTTTCACATACATCCTCCCATGTTACCAAGGTGGTATTTTGATCCGCGTGGTACCCAAACAGACACGGAGGTGTAGGAAGAAAGAACAGCGAAGCTAAAACTAATCATTCGTGTGTGCCGGGAGATGAGCCCCGCCCTTTGCTGTGTGCCCTCGGCTAGCTGCGTTCCTCCCTGAACCTTGTCCCATAAATGGGATCATACTGGGCCCCCCTCAAAGGTCTGCTGGAGGGATTAGGGAGCTGAGGGGAGGAATCAGCCTGGTGTCAGGTGCCCAAAATGCTGTCCGCAACCGGTAACTGATCACCTTGTCCCTGTAGGGCATTCGGACTGCTGGTGTTTTCATGTCTTATTTGGTGACACCTCCTTTCTGTGTCCCCAAAATGTCTGATGAGTTTTAGAGAGCAAGTTAAATATTTGCAAATGTAAATATTTGTAATATTTCCTATGTTTGTTACGGAAGGCATTAGGTAATAATTAACAATTTGGAGACACCCTACAGGACCTTCTGTGGGTGAAATGCCCTCCCTCTCGAGTCACTGATGTGTGTGTTCCCAGGACACAAGAGGGCTTCTGCCTGCTCCGTAGGCCGGTGTCTCTGTCCTTGAAATTGATTCACGATTGAAAAATTAACCATCTTTGGCTTTCTCAGCACTCCGTGATCTTG